TGATTTCAACCTTGCAAGGGAAAAAGCTATTTTAGACAAATTTACAGCTTTCAATGCTTTCTGCCATATGCGGAACTAATCTGACTCCAAGTGAAGTTTGCAAAACTGTTTTTTTTTTTTACATAGTTCTCTTAAAACTCTCACCAAAATTCATAGTGCCATATGTCTAAATCAAGTTAAATTAAATGAATGCATTGCAATGTGCATATGAAATAGAGAAAAAACAAAAGAAATATGAAGAAAGTTTGCTCAACTTGCTCAAAGTAAAGATCTTGAAGGGTTTGGGAATGAAGGATCCAATTAGAAATGCCAGAACCAGGTAAACAAAATGCCAGGAAAAAGGTGAACAAAATGAATTCCATCTACTAATTCCCAAAAAGAAAGAAAGATGTTCTAGGATAAATTCTAAAGTTCTACTCTGCAAATTGGAAGAAATTCTGAAATAGTGAGAACCAGTCATATAAGGACAGAAGGGAGAGCAAGGCACTCCCTGACACAGAGACATAGCCAAGTCTATCTCCACTGTCACCAAACAATCCTATGTAATAAGAAAGATGGGCTCCTTACATCATTCATAACATTTTCCACTATATGCCAAATATATCCATGAAATGCAAATCATATTAGCTTACATTGTACTGGATGGGAATTAAAATCCCTCCAACTTTAAAGTGAATTCCTATTATGCCAAATGTCCCCAGTACTAGACTCTAGCTATGACGTTTCCTATTTTATTTCATTCTATTACCTGTGACTGTCATTCTAACTAGTAGCTCTCCCACCCAGTCACTGCAGATCTAGTACTTAAATCCAAGTCTAACTCCCACTTGCTAACTCCCACATTTCTTTCAGATCTCCATTCAGATAACAAATCAAAATGCTGACCCAACTGGATCAAGAGCACAGTACATTTATCTGTCACCAAAGGCTTCTGTCTGGATTTGAGTATAGCTTTTCAAATGGCTAACACAGAGCTTACATTTCTCCTTACTTGTCCCATAGATATAAGACTTCATCAAAAAGTATATATGACAGTAAGAACTCTTATTTATAGGAGCCCCCTTAGCCTCCAAGTCTATGACTCTACTAAAAGAAAATGATTACTCTTTTATCTAATTTGCCAGAATCTTCTCCTAATTTTGAAAATGCAAGTATGTTGTCCACTCCAACTGAAGTCACATAAAATATCTATGTGTGCTCTTTCCACAAAAAAGTGATATGAGAAAAATTATATGCCAGCCACTAGACATTAAAAATGCAGACACGTGACAGTATTTCATGGGTATTTATTGTGTACCTTCTCCAATTCTTCTCTTTAGCTACAACTCCTTTCCTAGTCTCCTTCCTCAATTTGTCTTCCTCTGTCCCCTCACAGTCCCATCTTCTTGCTGCACGTCATCTTAAAGACCATACTTCTTCCACTAAAATTAGCTCATCAATATTAGATATCATTAGCATCATCCTCTCAACTCATATTTCCAACTGACTATCTGGCAGAGCCTCCAATCTTTAAGTAGCTACAATGATCTTTACTTACTATAATCAGACCAAGCCATCAAGCTCCAGGAGCAGTACATTTGTTTGCTCTGTATCATCAAGGACAGAGATGGTACCTCCACAGCACTCAGCCAGGACCTTGTTACAAAAGTATTAACTAACACCTGGATAACACCTGATCCTTTTTAGGGGTGCAACACATTTCTATAAAATGAAAACCAAAATTCCTTTATTTACTATTAAAGCATCCTTATGGCAGGTGTTTTTAGAATAATAGATAACCACCAGAAGCCACACTATTCAAATCCATTGCCTTTTTTGTAAACTCCATCTCTGGACCCACAAAAGAAACAGTGCAAATAAAATAACACCTCTTGGTGACTTGCCTGCTTCAGTGAAGTCCACAGACTTCCATTTCTATAGCTCTAGTAGAAACTGAGAAAGTGGCACCTTTTCCAAAAGTATTTGCTTCATTATAAGATACTATTGTTTAAGGCAAAAATAGCATTTTCTATGCCAGGGAAATAGAACTTAATGCCCCTTTGAATTCCCACTATGTTTTTGTTCCTCTTGCATTTTGCAATATTCCATGGTGGGTCTTAACTTATTACCTAACACCTTAATAAGTTTTCACTAAAAGGCTCAGAATGCTCCATTTTCTGACCAACTTTTTATTATACCTCTTCTCACAATGGCAAGCACTCCACTGACTTTTTTTTTTTTTTTTTTTTTTTTGAGACAGAGTCTCACTTTTGTTGCCCTGGCTAGAGTGAGTGCCGTGGCGTCAGCCTAGCTCACAGCAACCTCAAACTCCTGGGCTCAAGCGATCCTCCTGCCTCAGCCTCCCGAGTAGCTGGGACTACAGGCATGCGCCACCACGCCCGGCTAATTTTTTGTATATATATATTTTTAGTTGGTCAATTAATTTCTTTCTATTTTTTTAGTAGAGACGGGGTCTCGCTCAGGATGGTTTCGAACTCCCAACCTCGAGCAATCCGCCCGCCTCGGCCTCCCAGAGTGCTAGAATTACAGGCGTGAGCCACCACGCCCAGCCATCGACTGACTTTTTATATACTTCTTTGCCCTATGCCAAGAAAAATACTAAGCCATGAACATAAGTTTTAAACTACAGATGCTTTTATTTCACCAGATTCAAAAATTCCTATTTTGCAGCACTTTATATTTCTTCATTTTCTGAGATAGAGGAGAGATCTTAAAACAAACTTGGACCTTAATATCAAAATCAGAAAACTCCTGATCACTCTCATAATGATGGAGGTATTTGTTTTCATCAGTATTTTATTAGAGAATAAGAGCTTAGAATTAGATGAGACCTCAGTAGTTACAGACTGCAAAATAGCAGGCCACAGGCCAGATAGGACCCAGATATACGTTCAATGCGGTCCTTACAGCTTTTAAAATTAAGGACACTTCTCATTAAAAAAAAAAAAAATCCAGACATTTCTGTTTTCCATGAGAAACCAGCATGTTTTAGAGCCTGGGTAGTAGTAACAATCAGCTGCAGTAGAGTGGGAACTGCCTCCTTTACAGTGGTTTGCAAGTTCCAGAGGCCATAAGTCCATACTCTTTCTCCCACGTGTCCTCTACTGGGCCTGCTCCACTCTTTTACTGCACCTGTCAGGCCCCTACACACATCTGAAATACAGACACAACCTTTTTTTTTTTTTTTTCAAAGCAAAGAGCCGGGATCCAGAAAGGGCTTCCCCACAGGACTGCCCTGTCACTTTTGGGTTCCCCAGCTTTAAACTGAAGGTAACTTCTTGACCTCACAAGGCTGTTAGGAGAATTAAAAAAGAAGTGTATGAGGCTAGGTGTTGTGGCTCACGCATGTAATCCCAGCGCTTGGGAAGCGGAGGCAAGACTGCTTGAGGCCAGTAGTTTGGGAGCAGCCTGGGCAACATAGCGAGACACTGCAAAAAAATTTTTTTAAAAAAATTAGCTAGGTGTCGTGGATTGAGGAAAGAGGATTGCTTGAGCCAGGGAGTTTGAGGTTGCAGTGAGTCATGATGACAACACTGTACTCTCTAGCTCAGGCAACTGAACGAGACCTTGTCTCAAAAAAAAAAAAAAGTGTATGAAAAGTGCTTTGTAAACTGCAATGTAATGTTTGTCATCATTAATCATCTCCCAGAGCTGTGAGTTGCATAAATCCCTTCTACCTACCATTATTTTGATTCCTTGTTTCTCATATTATTATAGTACATATAACACAGTTTAAAATCTAGATTAAGAGACATTTATTTCCTTGCTTCACTTAACAAGGAAAGATGAACAAATATCAAAGGAAAGCAAAATGAATTTTTGAATGCCAGTGGATCTTTAGCAGGTCATTTTTATTTGTGATCTGGTATGAAATTAGCGCAAAATGTAATTACTGGATTGCTGATGCCTTCAAGTATTGTATTGTAAGTTCACCCACTAATCGCCTGAAGCCTCAAAACAAAACTGAAGGTCCAGGTATTAGAGGCACCTGTGAGATAGGAGCACTGACCTCTTCCATGGGCCATTCCACTAAAGAACCCAGCTCCATCAGAGGGGGGGAAATAAACTACGCTTGAATATAAGCTCTACTAGCTTAGACTCTAGAGTATAAGCCATGGCACACTATTTCTATAGACATAAAGATATAGATATCTCAAAAAAATCAGTAAGACATCTGAAAGAAAACAGAATCATTTCAGAAATGGGCAGAGGTGCAGAAAATTGCACTTAAATAATGATGCAATGGATACAGAAATGCTGAGATGTATGTTACGAATGTTATCTTGTTACGTTACGAATTCACAAATATGTATTCTTTTTGTGGTCAATTTACAACAGATGATCATCCATTAATTGTGGGAAACCACAATTAAACCATCTGCGTTTAATGTTAAGATAATCACACCTAAGTAAACTGTAAAATAGAACTGTAAATACAGGAGAAGGATTTAAATTGGAATCAGCTTTCTTTATAAGATCTCCAAAATGGGAGTAATTTATGATTCAAGACACAATCCGTTGAAAAATTCATCTGACGAATCCTTTATAAGCATACCATCTCGTGCAATTACGGCTTTTCTGGAAGTTGAATGAAACCGTCGCTTGAATACAGATTAATGAATGCCAAATTACCACCAGGTCCTCGGTGGATATTTTACTTTAAAAATCAAAATAAATACCAGCATAATTTAAGAAACCTGTATTTTCAATAGATGTCCCAAGGCTGATGTTTAAGCAAGTCTCCTTGGCAACCAAGGAGCACAGCACATACTGGGCTGGAGGGAAGGGAAGGGGAGAGCAACTCCAGGGTTGGAAGCCTAAGTAACCCGAGTAGTAATTGCTCCCGCTAGACGACGCTGGCAGGGGCTGCACGGGCTGCGTGCCCCTGAAATTCCAACTCCGGGTCTCGCCCCCACGGACGCACCAGCAGTCTCCCACCCTCTCCCTCGGGTCTGCAGGCACCAACCCCGAACAGGTTACAAGGAGAGAGACGGGCTTACCCGATGGGGTGAGCGGTCTGCTGTTAGGTACCCGAGGCGGCAGCGCAGACACCGGGCTCTCCCTGATGCACAATGGCTCTGCTTCGCCCCACAACGCTGAGGTTAAGAGAACCCGCAGTGGCTTCGCTCTGCTGGTTAGGGGACGCAGTAGTGAAAAACGAGCGCGCCAGCGTGTGTGTCTGTGTGTGCGCGACTGCCGGCGCGCTCCCGGACTCTCCCGCGAGGAAACTGTTCCCTAGTAAATAAAAAGCACCAGCCAGCACTGCAGGTGGCACGTCCGGCTCGCTCCGCCCCAGGCGGCCGCGTCAGCTGGGAGACGCACCTCTGGCAGCCCCCGGGGCTGGTTCAGGCGCCCGAGCGGCTCCGCCCCCTCCCGCCCCCGGCGGGCCCGCGCGCAAGCTCCCCCGGCCCCACGCAGCCGCCGCCCGCGAGCCGCCGCACGCTCCCCGCCGCCCGCCCGCCCCCGCGCCGGCGACCGCGCGCCCGCTCTCCCCGGAAGTCCCCTCCTCCACGCCCCCCTCCTGGCTCTCCGGCACCTGCGCCGCGGGACCCTGGGTAACGAGCACCGCCTGCAGCCGCAGCTGCGATGACCGAGACCCTGGACCCAACCTCATCGCCCCAGACCCCCTTCCCAGGGCCGGCGCGCCACCTGCGTGAACAGACGCCGTGACCCTAACTTGGTGTGCTCTCCTCTACCTAACCCTGCTAACTTCTGAAGTTCCAATTGCCTCTACTTGTAGCAGTCCTACGGTGGCCCTCCTTAGGATGATACACTTTATGGTACTGTCGAGAACAGATTCGAAGTAACTTTAAGAAATGACAGGGGGGCCAACCCCCCCAGAGGTGAATAGAAGCCCCAAACCTAGGAATGAGGAAGGGTGTTTGGTTACAGCCAATTCAGCATTAAAACGACAACCCCAGAGCACCGCCATAAATTCCAGGGCCTGGCACGCTCTTGTGCCACGCATGGGTCATTCATACCACTCTTATGTAAAACATGCTGAGAAACTAACACTTAAGCAAAGCCGGTAATTTTAGTAATTCCACCATTGAATTGAAAATCTTGGTCAGACGTGAAGTTAAGACACCAGGAGCAGTAGAATGTAACTCTAAATTGTAGTAAACTATATTTTGTGGAAGTTCAGGGTTTAAATTGCTACAAAGATGGAATTTCACAGAATGTTAAGTCCTTGCAGTTAAGTCTCTTGCAGGTTTATGTTCTTCCAACATGGGCTAGGATCAGTGTCCTGATCTATTTTGAGATATCCTTAACATTCTCATTAATCTCAAATGAATGGTTTAGCAATTGTTTTCCACTTTTAGACACAGAAGATTTCTGGATCTGTTTGTCTCCCCTTGGACCTGTCTTGCTTCCAGTGCTTCATTCCCATAGTTTTGATATTAGGACTTTAGGATGCTGGGTACCTACTTATCTAGCAGTCCTGGACACCAGGATAGATGCTGGGGAAAAAATAACAAACAATTGAGTGCAAATATTAGGTACGATGTTTTTCCCTAGGATTTTTCATATGCAACTTGGTATTTTTATTGGGTATTGTTTTATACCAGAAAATCAAATGGGAAAACATGTTTGAAAATATTGACAATGTCTAGTGTCAATAAATAAAATACTTCTTTAAGATTCATAAGGTATTCATCACTAAAGTGAGTATACTTAAAATTTTAAGCCCATCTATATGGATTGGATTGTTTGTTTAGAATAAACAGAAGCTATTTATTAAATATAATTAAATAGAGCAAAGCATATAACTGCATGTAAACAGGGAAAAAACTTTATGTTTCAATTCACCATGTGTGTGACTATGGAAGGGTCTCTTACTGCCCAAGCTGGCTGTGTCTTGTTCATTTTCAATTCTTTCATTTAAAATATGCTGTAGCCATTCTAGGAAAAGAAGATTTTTCTCTATCTACAGACATTACCTAGTGATTCAGGCCACTCTGCTCAGGAAGGGAGAAGTGGAGAAGTTCAACTTTTTGCCCAAGGTCATTCCGAATGCCCAAGACGAAGGTAAAGGGGTCACTGGTAGAGTATTGGAGGCACCTTGCCTTTCTGTGGGGGCATTTGTGTGTCTGTCACAGGCATGGGGAGTCGGCACCATCCTGTGTGTGGTGCCCACATGCTTGGTCCCCCACACATACTGGGGGCTCTCTGACTCCACATCCCTATTTCCCTCCTGTCCTCCCCCACCCAAGTCCATGCCTGGGCAGGCCCTTGTAAATACCTGGCACTGGTCACTGCTCAAGGTCCCCAAGTCCATGCCAGGCCAGGCCTCCTCCTGTCTGCTCAGTTCCCATCATCCTCTATTAGCCCAGCTTCAACCATCGCTCTCTGTCCCCAACTCTGCAAAGGCCACCCCTCAAGCCCCGCAGTGCCGGCTGGTCCTCCCCTGACCCTCTTCACAGCAGCATCTGTGTTCTCTAGGTCCCATCAAGACCCAGATCAAACATCCCCCTCCCACCCCTCACCCTCATTGGGTGCCCTTCCTCCTCAGTCCTGAGTCCCCAAGTTCCCGAGCCTCTCCATCACACTCACCTCTTGGGCTGCGTCTCCCCTGAAACACACCCCGAGCTACACTGGGGCCCCCAACTCTGGCACAGCCCTGGTGGGGGTGCCACACAGGGGAAACTCGCTGGCTGGATTCATGGAGGGCCCCCGCTGGCATGCCCTGAGCCTGATTCAGAACCCACACAGGGCACCTGACCCACCAAGGGAAGGCCTCACCCTGAGATGAGGTTCTGAGAAGTTAACAGGTTGCTGTTCTGCCTACAGTGGTAATAACTGGGCCACTGTAGGGAGTCTGGTGTGCCTCAGTATTCAAACCTCTCCTTTCTGCAATCGGGACAGATGATATCAATGATGTGATGGTGCGTCCCCCACATGCATCAGGGCGAGCTGTAGCCTTACCAAGGTTTCTCATACCACCATCCCCCTTGATCCCTGCATGGGCCCATGCATGTGGGAGCGATGACAGCAGTGGGTGACAAACCCAGAATCTCAACTGGCCCCTTGACCGGGAGGCAGGGCTTGAATGAACCTGGGGTGGGATGAGCTGATCAGGGCTGCAGAAGCTGACTGTGCCAGAGGGTGGGCCCTGGTGCACCCATCTCCCCCACACTGCAGCCCTTGGCCCCTGCACCCACACAGGGCCTCACAGACTGGCTGCACAGGTGAGTCTGCTGCATGAATGTGGAGGCTGAGGGGCACTGAGTAGCCTGGCCTGGGGGGTCAGGCACCCTGGTCAATGCACTGCAGGATGGAGCCTAGCCAGCAAGTGGGCCAGGGTCTCCAGTGACACAGCTGCATGTCCCCCACCTCTCTAAGCCCAGCCTCACCCTGCCCTATCCTGTCTCCTCTGGGACTCTGCCCCCCACCCACCATAAAAAGGGCAAAAAAGATAAACTACAGAGTGAGAAAAGATATTTGCAATAGATGTAGCTTAAAAGATGAAACATCCAGAATACATGAAGAACTCACAAACCAATAATAAAAAGACAAACAGGAAAATGGGCAAAGACTTGACTAGGCACCTCACAAATAGCCACATTTTAAGTTCATGGAGTTAATTCCATTTCCTTGAAGCAGTGTATGTACCACTCAGTGATGTGTCCCTGTGCAATAAACATACAAAGGGAAGCAAGGCTAGTATAGCTTGGCTGCTCTAACAAGTACCACAAATGGGGCTTCTACAGAACAGACACTTATTTCTCACTGTGCTAGAGGTTGGAAGCCTGGGTCGGGGTGGCAGCATGGCTGGGCTCCGGTGAGGCTTCCTGGTTTACAGATGGCTGAGCATTCGCTGTGTCCTCACATGGGGGAAGCTCACATTTTTAAACAAGTATCCTAGAGTATGGTTGAGTGTGGAACACTTTTTTGGTTGGTTTTTTTTTTAGCTTACCTTTCACATACTTGGAGAAGCCTCCTGGAACACGGTAAGTTTTGCAGCATTTTTTCCCCGTCTATCATCAGCTTGTCCATGAGCCAAGATATTAGAGCAGAGCATGAATCTAGTGTTATCATAAGCATTTATAAAATTTATACTTTAACATCTCTGGGAGAATCAGCGAGCTGACATTGTCTCTAGACAGATCAGATTTCAATCTAAAACTATAGAATAAAAGAGAGCGATGTCATAGTTCCTTATTCAACTCCAGAGCAAACACCTGATAGCTGCCTCCTCCCCTAGCAAGTGAGGAGGAAAGTGTCATTCTTAATGCCAATCTCATGGTTTTTCTGTCACAAACCAGTAGTGACATTAAGGAATCACTCAGTCATCTCTCTAATTACTGTACTTCCAGAGAGAACAGGTCAATATTAATTATGCCAAAACCAAAATTGATTTTGGGATGATATTCTCTAGTTTTCAAATAGAAAATACAAAATAACTCTAGCTAACACCTCAATTTATTCAATTACCTGTGGGTACATTTTGTAGCTAATTCACCCTATTTATTCATCAGGCACACCAATGTCACTCAAAACTAGTGCCATGGGAAAATTTTTGCTGATAAAATGTTTGATGTTTACATTTTCTCTGCCACATTCTCTTATGTCAAATGCTGTTATTGTTTTCAGTCTAATTTAGCCTAATCAACTAGAAACATAATGGGATCTTAGTGAAAATTTACTGTACTGTAAAGAAATATCTAGAAATATCCTTGATAAGAAATTTTATTTTCTCTGGAAAAGGGGATGATGTGGATCTTTTATTTTTCATTTTATACCTTGTTGTACTATTTACAATTTTTACAATGAGCTTAAATAACACTTATGAAAATACATTAATAAATAAAAAAGAACCACTTTTTTAAAATCAACCTATAAAAATGGTTAGTATAACACTTTTAATTGCATTATTGGAAAATAGTAAGCATCATAGTCATACAAAAATTGCTTAAACATTTTGGGAGTCCTGAAATTAATCAGGCCACATTGGCAACTACATAACTACACTTATATATATAAGCCTGGTATGAATGGAAGATTAAAAAACAAATAAAACATATGTAAATAGTTCCCATACTTCCAACACTTGGTGAAGCATAGACCCAAGATGTCTGCCTTTCAGCTCCAATTCCATACTCCTTCCTGAACCTCTGCCTTTCTCTTTAGCCATACGGACAAATGAGTCACAGTATTTTTTATCAGAATCTCCTATATCAGTTATAGCTCTCTGCTTTATTTTAAGCAACAGAAATTGATTCTAAATAACTTAAGTAAAAAGGTACTTTATTGGAAGGATACTGGTGGCTGATAGAGTTGAAGGACTGGGAGGGAAAATCTGAATACTCAAGCTTTTGATAGGACCAGGAACCCAAACAACTTTACTCCATCC